CTGGAAGCGGGGGCAGGTGAGAGGACGGGGGGGCGGGGGCTGAGGGTGCAGGGCAGGGCCCGGGCCTCAGGCTTCCCCGGGCTTGGAGGGGCGGCTTTGGGTCTGTGCAGGCTCCAGCCCCGTGGAGGAGCCGCCCTCCGCCCACCCGAGATTTCCTGAGTTCCAGCTGCCGTTCTAGTTCCTTCGTCAGGCAGGCAAAGGAACCCTTGTGGTCGGAGGGGCCTCTTGAGCCCAGGCCAGGCGTCTCCCTCCCTCTCTGGGCACACACACCTCCATTCAGCCCCGGCCCCGCCCCCCAAAGGGGCTAGGGGCCCGGGCAGCCACCCCCACGCCAGTGGGGGGCCGCCTGGCTGGGAGGCTGGGCAGAGAGGTTGATAAGACCTGGACCCCAGCGGCCCCCACCACTGTGCCGGCTGCCGCCCTCGCTGCCAGAACCATGAGGGCCATCTCGGGCACCAGCCTCGTGCTGTGTGGCCTCCTGCTGTGGCTCCAGGCCCCGTGCACGCTGGGCCTCGCCCCCCAGTCCAGAGGTGAGGGGGGTCCCTGTGAGCTGGGCCACACTGGCCGACAGCCTGGGGGGGCGGCTGGGCACTGAGATGAGCAGAGGTTAAATGGGATCCAGGGTGCGCTGGGGTCGGGGGGAAGGGAGGCAGGGGTAGCCGGAGGCTGGCACAGGAGCAGACAGCAATGGTGACATTCACAAGGGTCAGGACAGGGGTGACCCTCAGTCGGCTCTGTTGGGGGACGCGAGTGGGACCTCTCTCTGCGGCCTGAGAGCCTTCGCTGGGGCGTCTCAGCTCCCAGGCCGCCCTCAGGGACCATGCATGGTGCAAAGGCCAGTCTCCCTGAGGACAGAGGCTACACCGAGAGCCAGCTGAGGTCTGGAGCCGCACCGAGCCTGGGGCCGCGCCCACGGCTCCGCTGAGTGCCACTCTGGGGTGGCCAGGGCTCCATGCTCCCTTCTCCAGCCTTTCTAGCATGTCTCGGGGTGGGGTCCTACCTGCTGTTCCATTCCCAGAGCTTTAGCCCTGGGCACTGAATCCTGGAACGCCTAACTCGTCCTGCACAGGTGGGGAAACTGAGGCCAGAGAAGGGAGGACCTGTCTGAGACCACATAGTGAGATAGCCCCAGAGCCTCCTGGCACCTGATCCTCTACTCTGGGGTGTGGTTAATTCCCTCACCCTCTCTGGGCCTCAGTTTACCCATCTGTAGCCTTAACTAGTGGGGATCAGGAAGAGTCTGCAAGGTCATTTCTAAGGTACCTCAAGGAACTCTGATACTTAGGGCGTTGTGGCTGGGGGGCTGGGACAGCCCAGCAGACCTTTCCTTTCTCGATCCTTCCTGCACCCTCACCAGGGAGCAGCTCTGCTCAGTTCTGGAACGCAGAGGGAAGGGCCTTTGTACTGAGCCTTGCCCAGCTGCAGGCCCAGGCCCGTGACAGCATTAAACAGCGAGCCTTATTCTCCCCCCACCTCCCCCCGGACAAGGCCCCTAAAGGTGTAGTGAGCTGCTCAGGGCTGCAGAACGGCTAAGCCGGGATTCGAACCCTGATCTGCCTCGTTCCAGCCATGCTGCTGCCTCCTGGGGTGTCTGGGAAGACCTGCCTCTCTGGGGATAGGTCTCAGGAGCCCACCTGGTCAGGCTACCAAGATGGCCACGAGGAAACCCTGCCCTATCCCCTGCCCAGGGACACCAGCCAGAAGGTTCCGGGGCTGAGGGAAGCTGGGTCCACTTCGGTGACTGACTTTGATGTTGAGATGAAAGAGGCCAAGCTCATGGGCACTGTGCTGCCCA